GTCAAACCCCTATTAAGAGGCCACCTTTGGGGAAATGGGAGGTTGTCCCTAATAGGGATTGGTGTACTCTGAATATTTTTTTTGGATCGAGTTAACTGCTTAGTGAATTTGGATTCACGTCAAGACTATCATGATAAACATGTGCTTCAATGATTTTATCAGGCGTCTCTTTCTATTTCTGACTCTTATCTGTCACCGCCTTTTCCAAAACAAAGCCAAACTACATGTATTAAATTCTGGGTGGCAGTTTAACAGGGGTAAAGGCAATAGGAAAAACCTCATTGGGACAATCAAAAGGTGGCCACGGCCACTTAATAAAGGTGACCTGTTACTGACAATGATTTCGGGACTTTGATAACTGGCCGCTTAATAAGGGGTGGCCCCTTAATAGAGGTTCAACTGTATCACCACACAAAATGCACTTTACACAGTTGGTGGTCTTTGTTTTGTGTTTATTTAATTGCATTTAACTTGACTATTCAAGTGTTATGACATTAGATCTTGTTAAAGGCAGCAACGTCCATAGACTGAACAAAATCTTCAAATTTTGTGATTTCCTCCTCCAGGAAATCTGTTGAGATTTTGTCGTCTTCAATGACACAGTTGATCTGCAACTTTTTGATGCCATATGCGAGAGGGACGAGCTTTGATGCACCCCAGAGCAGACCATCAGCCTCAATGCTGCGAACAAGCTTTTCCAATTCTTTCATGTCTGAAATCAAATGAAGTTGTTTACATACTGCAACTTTCAAGAACACACAAACTTTGAGTTCAAAAACAGTCTGTCTAACCACTGCATTGTGCAGTGTTGAAAAACCATAATCATGTACTTACATACCATTGTACAGTACATAGGCTAGTAGATAGCAACGAAAGCAATAATGAACAATGATACACAAAAAGAATTATTTTCTGTTTAACTCAAGCTCTGTTTATAGTTCTTGCTCTTTTTGGATTTGCAACTGGGAACTACTTATAAAATAAGACATCCCTAGATTCAATAATTATTGTCAAGGTAAAAAATAGGTCCGCAATGCGTCCTTGTGGTCTTATGCTTAGTTTTATTCCATTCAGTTGGAGTGTTGTTTTAAATGTCAGTATCTGGGAGTTGAGTTGCTACAAGTGAGAAGGTAGAAAAGTTGTTATAAATTTTCAGTGGAAAATTTATGGCAGAATACTGTTTACCTACTTAATTTATCCTCTAATAATAATAATTTGTTTAGCTCTTAGTTCCTGTGGTACATAACACAACAACAATCTCTCAATTTAGCCCTATTCTGTGCAACATGTTGTGGCTTGTCCTATGTGAGACAGTTTTAACTCTCTGAGCTCGGCACTATTTACACATGTCAAGTGAACTTGTACAATAATGCAGTGTCAAGATGTTTTGCTTTTTAAATACATTACAACATCAATAACTGCATCGGGCCAAGTTGTCCATACCCCAGAACTTATCCCAGTTTCCATGGTTTAAGTGACTAAAAGACTTCTGTGAGAATAAAGTGTCTTGCCCAAGAACACAGCACAATGACCCTGACGAGGGCTTGAACCCAGACTGCTCAACCCAAAGCATGCTGACCATTGGGCCACTGCACTTCCATGGCTTTATGCATCCTATGGGTGCAAGGACACAAGGAGGAAAGATGACGGTGATAATATTTCTATTAAATACCTGTTTCGTCGTCCCAGGGCTTTACATCAAGAAGAAGACTAGATTTGGCTATAACTGTCTTTTCTAAATAGCACAGAAAAAAATATGTTAAATTAGCCATTTGGATTTTCCTCTGAGGAGAGAGCCCACATGTTAAAGTGCCCCTATGATCAAATTCTTGATACCGGTATCCATTTTTTCACATTTTTGAACACAATAGGTCTTTCCGAGATATCTTGCCAAATTTCAACCTATTACATTTACTCAAAAATACCACACAGGTTGAAATTATAATAACAATTAGTGTAGAAAATTGCAAAAACATAATAATTCTTTAAGCAAATTGCTGTTAATACCAATTATTTCAACCTGTGCGGTATTTTTGGGTAAATGACGTCATTTACTCCAATTCTCAACCAAGACTTGGAAGAAGGAAAATTAATGGCGGTAAATTGTCTGAAATAAAGGTCCAAAAAACATGAGTTCTKATGTGCGTAATAGATTGAAATTTGGCACAATAACTAGGAGTGACCTATTGTGTCCAAAAATGTAAAAAAAATGGATATCAAGAATTTGATCATAGGGGCACTTTGAAGGGGTGYGGATGACCAATGTGTAGTTCCAGAAAATATACATACCTCCCCCACAGAAGGAATTTTTTCCAAGACACRCCACCCCTCTGGAAATTCCAATTAAACTTGATACATTCCTTTAAATTTCTTAGTCTTAAAGAAKCCCCGCCCCCCAGGAAATTCCAATCCCTTCTGTGGGGGGAGTATGGATATTTTCTGGTACTGCACAATCTGGAAATGGTTCAAGCTTTATTTGACTCCTAAAATAAACCAACTTAAAACTAAAACTCAAGCTAAAGTAAAACCAGTAGTGAGGCAAATAAAGATAAGGGAATTTTAAGATTCCACACCAGATCGATCTAAACCATCAACATACACGTACATGTACCAGTAATATTATCATATTTTAAACATTCTCTGCATCCAACCCTTAAGATACCTTGAAAGCCAAAATGTTTATGTTCTATCCTAAACACTATAAATGAGACCAAAATCCTAACTCTACTCCCAGCTCCTTTTCACATGGGAGCTGCTCCACTTCCCAGGTAACGGTACCAATTAAAGAATGACTGATAATCCAAGAATGTCCATTGCGTCACAATTCAGCTGGTACTGGGTTTTGTGACAGTTAAACTTGTGGGATGCACTTCTCCATCAAATTTAAACTCTTGGAGAACAGAATATTTCACATTTGAGAAAACCTGGTTATCTTATAGAAAACACAACATGTACGTACAGTTTACATTAATTAAAATTTGCACTTTAAGGTACTTACTGTTAGCTTTCTTGGAAGCATATTGTTGTAATCTCTGTTGCTTAAGTTTCTCAGCCTCTTCATCATCCTGTAATTAATCCAAGCTCAGAATATTAAATCCACTTTTGGATGATTTCTTGGTGTGTGCCAAAATCCTGACTTGAGTATTGTAAAAACTAGGGTATCTAAACGATAGTAACGCTGCGGCACATTCTGTTGATAGTGACACATTTTATGCAGTGATTCATCTACCTGCGCATGCCAAGACTTGCATTAACCTTGAATGCATCAACTTCGTGCATGATGACGCATCGATGGCGAGGTGTGACAAGGGATCGTGACAAAAAAGCACATAGTGATCTAAACTATGTTTGGAAGTAACGATACACATCAACCTCCCCTTTTCCAGATCACCAAAAATTGAAAGATGTAGAAATTGTAGGAGCAGAAATCTAACTTATAAATTCTGTACTGGTATGCATTAAATGTCTCTAGAACGTTGACAGACTGTGCAGAGGACATGTCCATTGCAACGTGTGAAAATGCTAAAGCTTTAGCTTAAATTCATGTTTGGATGAAAAGGAATAGATTGCAGCATATATGAAATTATAGTGTTCTATGGTTTTCGTTTGTTTCAATTATTCTACAAGCTTTACAAACTTTCACATACCGCTTTAAGAACAAAAGCAATAGTTGTGAAAGTCAAGCACATCATTTCACTGGTAAATCAGAGCAAAACATAACTGACCACGCGAAAAAGGACGACAGCTTGATGGTGTGACATCCTCATGTTGTTCGTGGTGCAGTGCACCCTGGTAAAAAGTGTTGCAGTGCACTCTGGTTAAATGCAATGCATTCTGGTAAAAAGTGATGAATTTGAGAATTCAGAGTTCGTAATGTTATACTAAAAATAAACAGTTCTGTTTTAAATGNTGCATTCTGGTAAAAAGTGATGAATTTGAGAATTCAGAGTTCGTAACGTTATACTAAAAATAAACAGTACTGTTTTAAATGCCCAGTCATCAACCGATCTTTACAATTACCTCTTCAGAATCTGAACCAAAGAGATCAAAGTCGTCGTCATCGTCTTTTTTGGTGCCATTGGTTACTGGTCCAGCACCATAGCTATCAAGATCTTTTTTGCTGCCAGGAAATGTGGCTTTTTCAGTTCCAAATGATGCTATGTGGTTATACCAGCGTAGAACATGTGGCAGATCTTCAGATGGACATCCAGAAAGTGCTTCAAACACTACTCTGTCACCTTGGGAAGGCACATAGCTGGCAACAAAACAAAAATACACTCTGATAATTCAATACTACAGGAAATAAATTTGAAAAGGTTGCTACATGATCAAAAACTAAACTGATGTGTTCTGTTCTTTGAGAATGTAAAGCCTGGGTTTCACCTCAGGACAAGCAATTTTCCACTTGTGCTTGCAGTAATGCTCATTCTTAGTTTTTTATGCAAAAGAAGACCAGGCTTATGACATCATTGCAGAATCCTGCATGGTTGTTACTAACAGCAGTTATGCATCTATCAATGTTAAGCCAGAGGGGGAGAAACCAGG